TACAAAAAAGAGAAAAGAATAAAGAAAAAAATTTTTTAAAGACCATGAACGCCCTACATTGCATGCCAAGGACTAAGCACATGTGCAATCTCTCTAATAATTATCGGTCTTCAATTTCTTTCAGTAAAGAGATAAAAGAAACCTGAAGGTCTTTACGTAGCTTGGAGAAACCTGAAAAGGCTAACAGGAAACTGGTCAGTGGCGTGTGAGTGCTGCAGAAAACGACCACATGAGCTTTTCCTCTCACGATGCCCAGATGTTACCAAGAGCCAAAGAAACCTTACATACTTGATCTAAGTTTTCTAAAACAGCAGAGCAGGAAGGAAAGTTCTTGGAATGCTACTGAAAAAATCCAACAGATGTACATTCTATTCCATGCAAAGAAAGTTACTTCCCTCTATGGGCACTGTGCCCACTGCCTTACAAATGCTGTTAGACATTAATATCTACTAGATTATATAGGCAGATTTAGCTCTTTGATTTTTCTTCTTTTGAGACAGTGTTTCACCTTCTACCTCAGGCTGGTCTTGAACCTGCATAAAATTTTAATTTTTTAAAAATTATTTTATTATTTTTATGTGTATGTGTGTATTGCCTGCATGTACGTAAGTGCACCTGTGTGGCACAGTGCCTGCGGAGAACAGAAGAAGCTGTTGGATCCCCTGGAACTGGAGTTACAGACAGTTGTTAGCTGCCATGTGGGTGCCAGGATTCAAATCTAGGTCTTTTGCAAGAACAGCCAGTGTTTATTATTTTTATTTTATGTATATGAATGTATTGCCCACATGTGTGTGAGTGCACCGTGTCATGCAATGACATGGAGGCCAGAAAAGGACATCAGATTCCCCTGGAACTAGAGTTAAGGATGGTTTGTAGCTGCCATGTGGTGCTAGGAATCAAACCAGGGTCCTCTGTAAGATGAGTACTCTTAACCACTGAGTCACCTCTCCAGCCCCATAAAGTTTTAATTTAAAAAAATTAATTATGTGTATATGTGTGTCTGTGTGTGGGTATGTGCACATGTGAGTGCATGTACCTGTGCTAGATCAACTGAAGGGACTGGATCCTCTGAAGCTGGAGTTATTGGTGGTTGTGAGCCATCCAAAGTGAGTGCTGGGAACCAAACTCAGGTCCTTTATCAGAACAGTATGCACTCTTAACCACTGAGACATCTCTCCAGTTCAAATTTTTAATTTTTGAAAAAACTATTCAAGTGTTTAGAACCTAAATCGAATTTATTTGTATACCTAGTTCAAAGTCAATGTGAAAGGTCTACATATTTTGGTTCTGTTCCCCTGGATTGCTTGAGGCTGGCTTTGAATTTAGAGATCCGCCTGCCTCTGCCTCCCAAGTGCTGGGATGAAAGACGTGCGCCACCACGGCTGGCTCCTGGCCACTGATTCTTACCACAGTGCAGACCTCACCTCAGAAAATGGGCGAGGTCCCCCAGCAACTAGAGCCAAGCTGCTGTCCACACTGAATCTCGTCATGGACTTCACATAAATGCCACAGGAGCCACAGAATCGGGCAGACAGATGATTGCTGGCCCCACATTTAGAGCAAACAGAGTGGCTAGCAGAAATGCCAAGCTAGGGGAAAGAAAACATTTTTATGATTTTAGAGCTATAATTTGCCCATATAAACTAGTCTCATACAGTCTCTGACACTCAAAATAATATGTGCTCCTAACTTCTGATATAACAATTCCACCTCTAGAATTTATCCTATAGATGGACAAGAACTTAAAGAAATATATTCCAGGTCATCTCTTACAGTTGTATGGGGGTTTTATTACATTTTATTTATTTTGTGCATGCATGCATGCTCCGTGTGTGTGTGTGTGTCTGTGTGTGTGTTTGTGTGTGTGTGTAGTACCTGTTATAGTGCATGTGTGGAAATCAGAGGACAACTTGGTTCGTTCTTTCTACCATGTGGGTCCCAGGATTGAATTCAGGTCTTCAAGCTTCATAGAAGGTGCTCCCTCCCACTGAACCATCTTGTCAACCCAATACTGTCGTTCTAGAGGACATATTGGAACAACCTGAGTGTCCAGCAATAGGGGATAGTGCCTAAACAAATCATACAGAAAATGAAATGTGAAGCTACTGGAGGAGGCAGCTAATAAGAGCTGTTGGTGGGTGGAAAGAATGGGTCAGTAAGCTCAGCTCTCTCAGCAGCTGAGAAAGCCCCTCAGGGCCTCAGTAGCAGGAGTGCTTCTTCAGGGAGGAACTGTGCACTGAGATGAAACGGAAATAACCCTCCACTTTAAACCTTTTATTATTCACAAGCAATACTCAGATAAACATAAATCAGTTTAAATGTTTTGATTAAAAAATAGGCAAACACGATTCATAAAAGAAAATTCCAATGATCAATAAATAAGTGGAAAGGCTTAACCTCAAAGAAGTGCAAATGAAAGTGGTAGGGGAAAAGGATTTCCAATATCCAGCATATGAGAATGTATTATCTCTACTTCAAATTCTTAGATACAGAGGGAAGAGTAAGTGTCTCCTGCAGTGTGCAGGAAGAGTTTGGCTCTCCAAGGTGTTCTGCACAAAGAGGCTGTTAAAAAGTACCCACCATGGCACCACACCAGTCACAGAAGGATGCCTTCCAGAGATTCTGGTGGCTGCATCTGGAGCAGGAAATGGTTTCTCCCTTCTGAGTGGGAGGAGGAGGGACTTTATGTCCATTGCACATCCACTGGTGAACAAAACAGCATTGACAGACAGGATCAAAGCTACATTCTCCAGTCACCACCCCATCCAAAACCAAGAATAAAGCCCGGAAACAATGGAAGCCCTGGAAGTACAGCATTTTTGCCTAAAAGATTAAAAGTGTGGTAGATTTACCAGTTAACAAGCCAGTTCACAGAGCACATATTCCTGCCTGGAAATCACAGGAAGTCAATGAAAATGGTGCCCCCCACACCTTGATGCTGCTCTGTACTGTTAATATCAAAGACCAAGCATGCCTACTGCTTAACTGGAGGCTTTCAGTGAACAGAGGCTGCAAAGAGGGCTGAGATTCCTAAGGTGCCTATTCTCTATCCTTGGAGATTCTGCTTTCCCTAGGGAAGTGTTAATTTTCCAGCCTGGGCATGGAAAAATGAGGGGACAGATATGGGCATTTTATTCTGTACGTCCACATTTGTGCCTGCGTACATCCGTACTGTATGTAGTCCAGCATAGACACAGTGCAAACTGCTAGCACAGGTCCTCTCTGTTGAGTCATCTTACCAGCCCCATCTGCAACCTAACTTTTGTCCAGGATTCCACACAGCCCCATATTGTCCTTATAGGGGTATAGTGGGTTTCGTATGATCAATGCCAAGTTAATATGAAGGAGTGCTTAGTACAGGGTGAGTTCTGTACCTCAAGCTCCTCTCTCACCAGGCTTTTCACTAGATCCTGATTCCTATATGTGAAAGGACTATAATTTTATGGATTTTTCCCCACCTGTATAATACCAGTGACCTTGGCAATGGGACTCATTCAAATAGTTATTGAGCTGATGAAAAACTGATCCAATAAGCAACTGATTATATGTATTGCCATATACTCCATGTGTAATATTACACAACAGGAAAACACCCCAACATTTTCTAAGGACAATATTCCCTCAAAGATAGTTAATTTAGTTCACTGCATTTGTCCAGCTGAATCCTATTTTGTTCTAGGGTGCTCTGCTATCCCAAAGCAGAGCCTTTTCCAGGCAGAAGCCACATGAGCCCCTAACATAGACAGCTGAGGAAGGAGAGAGGTCACGTCAGCTCCTAACACAGAAGCTGAGGAAGGAGAGAGGCCACATCAGCCCCTAGCACAGAGAGCTGAGGAAGGAACATTTTTCTGGGGTCATAAACCTTGTTTTTGTACAATTAGAGACAGACTCTTTTGAGTGAGCCAAAAGAGAAAATCTTTGAAAACTTTTGTCTCAGGTCTTATATTTCTGTTATCCTCATATTAAAATAAAAATTTGAAAGAGATTTTTGTCACTTGGAAGTTCTAAACACAAAGCCTTCAGAGCTTTCATTGATGATGGAAATCCAAGTCGTTTTTTAAATATAATTTTCTTTAAAGAAGGAAAAGTTATCTTACCCCATCATATTAATGCTGCTAAACAAAGAAAAGACATAAAGCTGTCAGACTGAACATGCATTGTTACTTTTTGGCATTTCCACAATACTATCATTCTAACATCTAGAGCTGGATAAAACATTCAGATACAAAGGTAGTTTTAAAACATTCATTTTTGTCAGTGATTAAAATGGTGCACACCTTTAATCCTAGCACTCAGGAGGCAGAAATAGTCAGACCTCTGTGAGTTCAAGGTCAGCCTGGGCTACATAATAAGACCCTGCATAAAAAACAAAAGTGAAAAACCATTTAATTTTAGTATGTTCCTAAACAGTTTTGTTGATAGAAATGGAAACCAGAAATGGAAGAATCATATCACCAACAGCCAATGTAATCAATTTAAACATCTTACTCTTTACATAAGAAGTCCAGAAGGCCTGAGGAAAGGATGAGAGGGATGAAAGGACTGAAAAAAAATTAAAATAACTTTTGAGACAGGGTCTTGATCAAATTTATCTTGACAAATAGTGCTTGAAACATATAGAACATTCTAGTTTATCATCAGAAGTTATTTTATTACTATTGTATATATATATATATATATATGTGTGTGTGTGTGTGTGTGTGTGTGTGCACTGTATGTGTGTGAGTGTGGCACACATGGCACACATGTGGAGGTCAGAGGATAACATTCAGGAATCCGTTCTCTTCTTCCACTGTGGGTTCTAGGGATGGAACTCAGTAGTTGGATTTATACAGCAAGTGCTTTTACCTGCTGAGCCATCTTGCTAGCCCTGCTTTTTTTCTGAGTGGTTTCTCCTTCTATTGCACATCATTCTTCTCTATTAACATCAACATTGAACATTTAAGAGTCACTGGATACAGGACTGGCACATGCAATCAACCTACCTCTTGTGTTGAAGGCAGGGCCCCCTCACAGGTGACACAGTACCGAAGGTGAGCAGGGTTCCCCGTGCCACAGGTGCGACAAATGACCTTTTCCTTGGCAACAGAGAATTAGAAACAGAACTGAGCAAACAACAGTGCAGAGATCTTCTTAATCAGCTCCAGGCTTATTATAGCACCCCATCTTGAATACTGCATTGGTTGAGAAATTACTGCAACATACTGCCAGACAAGTGAATACAGTTCTAAAAGAAGCAAAACTCTAAGCAAACAAACTGAAAATTATTCATTTGGCTTGATGAGGGCAATCTGAAATTTCTGCAGTGATTATGTTCCTAGGCCCAATGTGGGATACTTGATAGTCAATAAACTCTCTATTTCACGGCCTACAGAATAAACAAAAAGACCAGCAAAAGCTTATTTCTGGATTTATAAGTCAGCTGGGTCTTGGACTTGAGTATACTACTGGACTTTATGCTAACTATGAATTTAAATTTATTCTGTAGTTTGTGATTTAGAAATGGAAGAAGGTACTATCAAAAAGAGAGTATTAAGTGCAACTACTCACGTCAGGATCCTGGGGTAACAGAGAGAGAGAGAGAGAGAGAGAGAGAGAGAGAGAGAGAGAGAGGAAAGTGGGGGAAATGTTTAAGATAGTTTACTTAGAGTTTAGCTAGTAGAGGTCTGCTCACAATGTCACTGAACCATTCTGCATTCTCAGGACACTATTAAATTTCTTTTCTTTAACCAAAAATATTTTGTTTATTATTTTTATTTTATGTGTATAAATGTATTGCCTGCATGTATGCAAGTGCACCCATGTCAGAAATGCCTGCAAAGTTCAGAAAAGAGTGTCAGATTCCCTGGAACTGGAGCTATGGATGGTTCCCAGTGCCCACATGGGAACCCAGAACCTGGGTCCTCTGCAAGAACAGCCAGTGCTCTTTACCACTAAGCCATCTCTGTAGTCTTAATTTATTTTTTAAAGAAAAGATTATTACTTGTTTATGTATACGTGTATGTGTTTGTATGTATGCCTGTAGAGGCCAGATGAGGGTGTCTAATCCCCTGGAGCCGGAGTTACAGGTAGTTGTGAGCCATCCTATGTGGATATCAGGAACCAAATTGGGTCTTCTGCAAGAGTAGCAAGTGCTCTTAACCTCTGAGCCATCTATCTAGCCCCCATCTATTCAATTTCTAGTAACCAGTGGTGCCAAATGTTCCTTTCTACTCCAGGATCACAGCCTCAGGGCATCCTAAAAGTGACAGTGTTCCAAAACTGGCATAGGCAAAGACCACGGTCAAGAGAAAGAAAGCCCAACCCCCAGGATTTTATTTCTAATACCACTAAGTAGTTCTTTGAGGTTCCAGAGATGGAGAGTCTAGTTAACTCCACTGCAGTAGGAAACTCCAAAGTCTGTAGGAATCTGATAGTTCCTGTTGTTGTTTGAATGTGAAACATCCCCCATAGGTTCACATATTTGAACACTTGGTGCTCAGTGGGTGCTGTTGGGAAGGTTGTGGAATGTGAAGCTTCACAGGAGGAGGTAGGTCACTGGGTATGGATGGGCTCTGAGGCATTATAGGCTGGCTGCACATCCTGTTAACACTCTGCTAATTTAGTATGGATGCAGTGTGACCAGCCAGCCTCCTGTTCTTGTCAAATGCCTTCCCTGCCTGCTGCCTGTCTTCCTCACCATGATGGACTGTACCCTGGAATTGTGAGCCAAGTAAACTTTCCTCCCTTAAGCTGCTTTCGTCAGAATATTTTATCACAGTGATGAGAAAGGAAATAAAGACAGTTCCTAATGCCAGTTGTAGTGACCTCCCTGTCCCTTAAGGACCACAGTGCTCTGCTCACAAAAAGTTAACAGGCTCCAATCATTTGGCCTGCTAAGAATTAACAGACATCTTTCGATTTTGTTGATGTAAAGGAGAGGACACAGCAGTGTATATCTAGAGCTGGCAGCAGAATTTAGCAGCATCATTCACATGGCACTGGATTTGCAGCCATGACAGATGCAAGAGTGAGAGAGTCATGGAGGTTTTTACCAAGGTTCTAGAAAGCTGCTGAGTGGGGGCTGGAGAGATGGCTCAGTGGGTAAAAGCACTCACTGTTCTTGCAGAGGATGGTGGTTCAGTTCCCAGAACCCACATGGTAGTTTGCAATCATCTTTAATTCCAGTTCCAGAGGATCTGACACCCTCTTCTGCCCTCCACAGCATGTGCTTGAATACACATAGGCAAAATGCTCATATACATAAAATAAAAATATTTAAAAAGAAATAATAAAAAAGCTACCGAGGCCAGGCAGTACGTGGCTCCCAGATGCCTCTGCATGAAGCTGGGAAAGTGAAGCCTAAGTTGCAATGGAGACCTGAGAATGTGACTTTTTTTTTTTTTTTACATTTTTTAATTGAATTTTTGCGATTTCCATACAATATAATTTGATGACATTTATATCCCCTCTCCCATCCACGCCTCCTCTCATTACCACCACCCAACTCATTTCAGTGTACTCTTTCTGTATAATGAAGCCTATAGAATCTATCTTGAATCCCCATATATTCTCCAGTGTGGGTCCATCCACTGGAGCTTGCAAAGGACTTGTGCATGCTGTCACCATTGCTGTGAGTTCACATGAGTAACCGACCAGCCGTCAGGAGAATTCCATCCTCCCTTGGCCATCCACCACCCCTGGGTCTTACATTCTTTCCACCTCTTTCTCTGCCATGATCCCCGAGTCCTGTGCTCCAAAGGCCTGACAAGGGCCGTCCACTCAGAGATAAGCACTCTGCAGCGCCCTCCTCCCTGCACATTAGAAAACAGTAAGTTTCTGTGTCAATCATCATCTGCTGCATAAGGAAACTTCTCCAGTGAGAGTTGAAAGATGCATTAATCCTTAACAGTGGGTGAGCACCTGCTCTAGCACAGTCCACTCCAACTGTCCCTCTCGGGACTAAGAGTCAACATTATTATGAGGGTACCACAGTTACATTTCACAGGAGGGGACTGCAGCTCCAGCTCACAGGATGGGAACCACATCTTCAGCTCACAGGAGAGGGCCAGGAATCCAGCCCACAGGGGAGGACCACAGCTCAAGCTCACTAGTGGGGTCCACAGCTCCATCCCACAGGAGAGAGCCACAACTCCAGGTCACAGGAGGGGAACCACGACTCCTGCTCACAGAAAGAGAACCACAGCTCCAGCTCACAGGAGGGGAACCACAGTTCCAGCTCACAGGGAGGGACCACAACTCCAGCTCACTGGAGGGGAACCATGATGCCTGCTCACAAGACAGGACCACAGGTCCAGCTCACAGGAGGGGTCCACAGGTCCAGCTCACAGTAGGGAACCACAACTGCAGCTCACAGGAGGGGACTACAGCTCCAGCTCATGGGAGGGAACCACAGCTCCTATTCATATGAGGGGACCACAGCTTCAGTTCATAGGAGAGGATCACAACTCCAGCTCACAGGAGGGTAACCACAACTATAGCTCACAGGAGGGGACCACAGGTCCAGCTCACAGGAGAGTACCATGACTCCAGCTCACAGGAGGGGACCCCAGCTCCAGCCCACAGGAGGGACAACACAGCTCCAGCTCAGAATGTGACTATTTCTAATCATCCTTTTTCTACATAATAGAGAGCCATCATCAGCAAACTGAGCAAACAAAAACATGAAGCCTCTTTAAGTGCATGATTATAAATTAACTGCAACACTTAAATTTGAATGCATAAGTAAAAAACTGTCTATATTAGCTGTAGTGTAATTTTTCCTTTGAATTCATTTTCAGAGAAAATATGCCTACATATCTCCCTTACAGATCCCATTGGCAAGTGTGCTGGATGGCTTCAGTTGTCAATTTGACATACCTGGGTAGAGGGAACCTCAACTGAGGAATTTTCTCCATTGTACTGACCTGTAGCCATGTCTACAGGGCATTTTCTTGATTGTTGAGAGATGTGGGAGGGCCTAGCCCACTGCGGGCAGTGCCATTCCTGGGAAGGTGGTTCTGTGTTGTACAAGAAAGCAGGCCGAGCACAGGCCAGAGGAGCAAGCCAGTAAGCAATGTTCCTCCATGGCCTGTGCTTCAGCTCCTGCCTCCAGCTTCCTGCCCTGAGTTCCTACCTTGGCTTCCCTCAGTGATGAACTGTGAGCTGGGAGAGATAAGATAAACCCTTTCTTCCCCAAGTTGGTTTCAGTCAATGTTTTTTGTTTTAATTTTTAATATTTTATTTATTATTTTTATGTTATATGTATGAGTATATTGCCTGCATGTATGTATGCACCTGTGTCGTGCAATGTCCAAGGCGATCAGAAGAGAGCATTGGATCCCATGGAACTGGAGTTATGGATGGTTGTTAGTTGCTATGTGGGTACTGGGGATCAAAGCTGGGTCCTCTGCAAGAGCAACCAGTGCTCTTAACCCCTGAGCCATCTCTCCAGCCCCCTTGGTCAGTATTTTTATCACGGCAATAGAAAGTAACTAAGACAACAAGTTATATATTTGGGCCAGTACGCCTTTCCAAAAACTAAATGTGAGACAGTAGAAAACAGGGTCCCCCTTCAGGGTTCTTAGTCTCATTAAAAAAATAATTTAAGAATGGACTCAAATGAAAGCTTTAGGGCAATTTTATTAGAATTTAAAGAAAAAAACCCTCAGGGCAGGCAAGCTGTAAATCTTAGCAACTATCCTGAAGAGAAGAAGGGAGTGGAGAAGGCAAAAGGCCATAAAGCCATGCCTGTTTACAGCCAGCATGGAGGTCAGACACATGGCAGACTAGCACCTACATGGTGGGGAAGGGAAGGGAGCTGTAGAGAAAAAGTAAGAAAGCCCAAAATATTAGGGCAGCCCAGAACAATAGGGAAAACATGCTTAGAAAAGAGGTAAAAAGATGAAAAGGAAAGTTTATGCTTTTTTGAATTCTTCAAAAAGTGGCTAGACTTACAGCAAGCCACATGTCCACACACACTACACTAGGAGATGGGGATTCCACGCAAGAAAAGTTCACCATCTGATTAATGCACAAAGTATTCCGCCCATCTCTTTTGCATGACTTAAGGTGAACCTGCCTTCCTAGGGTTGGTCCTGTGACAAGGTGACTGACCAGCAAAACTGGAAAGTTTAGACTCCACCCAGGCCAGAGATTCCTATTCTCATGACCAGTTTTCTCTTAAGGGGCTTTTTTGCTACTGTAACAAATGGATTTGTTTACAGATACTAGCTTATCAATTTCTAGTCCATTTTACAAGCTGAAGACAGACATATAACTATTCAAACATTACTTTCTATGCATTTTATTCATGTTTCCTCAGAATCACGTTTCCTTACCTTCAAGTGGAGGCTGGCCTGTGGCCTAAGCTGTGGAGCAAGAGGAGCCTCACATACCACACAGATGGGGGTGTTCATGGGTACCATGTTTTCACATTCTACACACAAGCCCATCTGCACAAAGAAAAGGATCAGGTTTGTCTTCGGCTATAAAAGCTGAAGCTAGGTGTGGCTCTTAGAATGTAAGGTTTGAGTTGCTTTTGTAAAACTAATTTAAAATAATTACCCTTCCAATTATTTTTTTCTATTAATTGTAAAACATGTTTACTACAGAAAAGAGAAGTGTAAGTCAAAGGTGAGCAATCAACTGAAAAGGTCCTAAAATGCCTGAAGTTTGAATAAGAGCATGCAAGTTCCTGCTGGGGTGCTCTGCCCTTCTCTTGCTCTGAGCAATGGTTCTCCCTGGGCAGGGAGGCTAGGCAGTTCTGGCTGTTACTGGTCAGAGCCCACCTTATTTGGACCACTGGTAAGAACACAATCTCAGGCTAACAGAGAGGACCGTGGTAATCAATAAACAGAAGTGCCCAAGGGTTGTTATTGTTTTGTTTTTGTTTTGTTATTTTTTTTTTGAGTAGATCATTTCCTTTTATTATGACTTTTATTTTACCTTTTTAAAAATGTGTGTGTGTGTGTGTGTGTGTGTGTGTGCATGAGTGTGTGTGTGCATATGTGTGTGCAAGTACCTGTAGAGGCCTGAAGATATTCTTGGGCATCATCTTCAGGAATGCTGTCCATCTCCTTTCAGACACAGTCTCTGACTGGCCTGGAGCTCACTGATTAGGTTAGGCCAGTGAGCCCCACGGCTGGCCTGGCCAGTGAGCCTCAGGAGTCTACCTCCCCAGCACCAGGCATTTTAATGTAGGTGTTAGGAATCAAGCTCAAGCTCTCATGCTTACAAGTCAAGCACTTTACTGACTGAGCCATCTTCCCAGGCCCAAGCCAAGGACTTTAACAGGTAATCCAACTATAACATCTGAACAAATTCTCTGCATATCTTCAAGTGACTAAAGTCTATACACATGTTTTACATAAACCAGAATGGGCCCAAGTTCCAAAGCATCTTTACTTGCATGTGAAGATGTTGGAGAGCTCAATATAAGTAAAAGCTTGGGTAAACCTAAAAACCATCTTGAATTTTATATTTCATAGATAACTAATGCATTCTTCAAGACCTTAGTGAAGGAACTGTCTTTTGGATCTTCTTATGAAACACAAATGAAGCTGTTCATGGTGTGCCTGGAAGAGAAGGCAAGTCCATGCTCCTGAGGAGACCTTTCACTGACAAAAACTCAAATGCTTTTAATCCCAGCACTTGGGAGGCAGAGGCAGGTGGATCCTTGTGAGTTCAAGGCCAGCCTGGTCTACAAAGTGAGTTCAGGTCAGCTGGGATTACAGGGAGACCCTCTCTCAAAAAGACCAAAAAAAAAAAAAAAGAGTTTTTTGTGGGGAATGGCTGGGGGTGCCGACAACACAGCAGACAGTAGCAGGGAT